CCTGGCGAGCAGGCTGTCCTGGTGGATGTATTGCCTGACGGTGACCGAGTTGAAGTTGAGTGGAAGTACATACTTAAGCTTCATCCGGACGAATCCCAGCGACTGAAGCCGTCGGCAAATGCTAAGCCACTTCCTGAGCATCTCAAGGAGAGCGATGCATCCCTTGACATCACGAACCGCACCGACGGTGTACCTGAGATGGGTGATCCTTTCCACGACCCCAACTCCGAGCACAAGTGGGCTGAATGGTATACTGCTCCTGAGGTTACTCGGAGAGTGGCTAAAGTCGATCTCAGCAAGGAGGACCGGCTCTGGTACTACCTTGGAAAGCCTTCAACCGAGGCTAGGCCACAGTACACTGAGAACCCTGCAAAGCCTAGGAACAACCCCAAGAGCAACTTCCTCGAAACCGTCAAGCCTCCTCCCCCGCCAGTACCAACCTTCCATCGTACTTCGTACCCAGCCTCTTATCCAATCAAGCCGGCACCTATCGCAGTACCTCCGCGCACACCGATGCAATATCAAACACCAGATGGTCGGCCGTACAATTACAAGCCGAAGGAGTTGTCGATGTCGTCTTACAGGTCGCCGGTTTATAACCCTGATACTCGCAAGAATCCCAATTCGCCAGTAGCACATCAACCCAATGTCAGCTATGATCATCGCTTACCCACAGGACAACAAGGGCAGCAGCCATACCAAGGCTATCACACGCATCGGTCACCGCACCCTCCGCAGCAGCAACAGCAGTATCAGCCATATGTGCCGCCACAGAGCTACTCTAATGCTTCCTGGAAAACACAGTCGACACTGCTCAATGGAATTGACAAGTATGCGCAACCGGCACAGCATAGCGCTCTACCGCCATACCCATACTCTCAGAGTCCTCGTCAGTTGCCACCCTCACCATACTCACCAGGCGCGGGACAGATTGCTGCTTCACCTTATGGCCCACCAAGCCATCAAAGCCAGGCATCACCACACGGTCGCGCGTCGATCTCGAACATGCTGAGCAACCCTACTGGGACTCCTAAACCTCCAATGTACGCCGTCACACCCTCCTCTGAAATCATCTATGCTGCCCAATCCCCCACTGAGTACTTATCCTACGTCATGAATTATCCCTACCTCAGAAATTGTTATTTGCGGAGGACAAAAACTTACATATCACCCTATAGTCTGGATGGTGGAATCGCACCGGAATGGATGCCAAAGCAGCCTACGCCGAGAACCAGTGGTACACCTACTTCCATCGCACCAAGGCCTATCGCGTCACACGGAGCCGCGCCTTCTCCCGGATACTACGGACCACCGCCACCAACGGGCCTACCTGCACCGAGGCCATCCGCACAGTTCCAGTCTTCAGATGCATTTCAACGGGAAATGGCAAGGACGACGCAGACTCCCGAGGCGCCAAAGTGGGAACAGATGCTTAAGCAGCTCGCTACGTCGACAGGCCCCACAGGAACGCCATCCATGACTGCGCACTCGCCACAGGCGCCTCAGCCTCGCTACCCTCCCTCGGGGCCCCGCTCTAGTCTATCGTACGACCTTCCTAGGAGCATGCAAGCTTCGCAAATTCAAACCCCACCAGGACCGCCACCACGTGAGCCACAGCGACCGACACCTAGCCCCATCAGTGATGACGGTAAAGGCGGTCTTGTAGCTGTACCAAGAGATCAGAAGCCAGTACTGCCGCCTCTGCAGCCTACGACGAATGTTCATGGAGCTGAGACGTGGCGCTACTCGTCTTAACGGCATGTGAACGGTTTATGGGGCGTTCGGTGGAACTAGTGTATTGTAACGACATGTATGACTAGAGTGTGACTTTCGGCGTTTCCAATAGGGTCATGGCATGGGCTGCCAGTTTCCTTTTCAATGCAGCATTGTCGTGCGGCGGGATTACAATGACAATTCTCATCTGTTCAGCGGTATTATTCTTGGATCTCGATGTGTGTAAAAATGATGTTTAGTAAACGCTGTGCATAGGCGTGTTACACCCTTCACACCTTGACAGATGAACACCGGGTCTCCGGTAGGAAGCGAGCCTTGGCCAGCTGTACCGTCGCTTTAGCCGTTGCTTGTTTTCGGTTGCCGGCTGCTAAAGTTTCTTGGCCCGAAATGAAGGCCCGTGTGGCATGGAAGCGACATTGAAACGCATAGAGAGCAGAGACCCACCCGGACAACATAAAACACCAGTGGAGTTTCTCCGGGCGGCATTGATTGAGGCGCAGAAACAAGTACTGACGTTCAGGCACCAATGGAGGCAGGAACATGTCGTGAAGTTTGTTACGATGCAGTGTAATTTGGGAAGGGTGTGTGGGAGGGTTCGGTGGAGTGTTCCAGTCTCAGTACCTGGTCTCGATCGAAAGAGCAAATACAAAGTGCACACCGTAGTTCGTATGAATCAAGACGTTAGTACCAAGCGCCTGGAACTGTCATGCGTAGTGGAGGCGCGCGCTGTCGTTGACCCACTTTCAGGGGGGCATGGCATGAAACGATGAAAGTCGGAAGCGACCATACGGAGATAAGGGCGCTGAGGCTACGATCGGACCTACGGGTGTATACCTAGGTTTGCTGCAGATTAATGAATGTGAGGAGTAGAGCGCGGTCTGCCGGTCTGCCGTGGTTGCGTTTATGCCGCTGGGTGGTGGGAGATTTGGTGACGCGTAGATGTCGTTTCTGAGGCGCTGAGTCTAAGCGAGTCGAGATGGTTCTAGTGTGCAGCGGGCGGGAAGAGTCGTTGATTCTCGGCGCCCAAGCTCTTTGCACCATCACCAAGTACACAACATCTGGTATCATAACCAAAGAAAGAAGAGTTGTTGTAAGAGCATAATGTGCGTACGGCAATTCGGCCGCAGAGATGTACAGCCACTGCATCCAAACACCGGTACAATGACGTGCTAGCTGTATCTGGCGTCTATTCAATGTTCAACCCCTCTTGCGTTTCGCTTTGACATGTTCCTTGCGTCGATCAGGAACACCTGGCCGAGGACTGCTCAGTATACTCTGTTTACCGCCAGGATCAGAAGCCACACCATGAAACAAGCACCGCCATGACAAGTGACAAGCCCACCTTGCGAACATCGAGCACCCCAGCTCCACAGCCCTGAAGCATTGTACAGCGGAAACGGTTCCCTTTCTGTCAGCTCCACTCCTTTCATTTGACACATGCACAGCGATGCGCCATTTCCGACATGGCAGTATCTGAGTATAAGAGTACCTCTCGCCCAGCATGTAGAGATTTCTCACCACCACAGTCATTCAGTCAGTCGACATTCGCTCACTTCACCTTCGTTCACTTTTTCACGCTTGAAGCGCCTCACATTCTTTACTATCTTCGTTGATCTCGAAGTATCTTTTTGAACACCAACCCTTTCGTCCAAACCAGACTTTCCAACACCCAACACTACAATGCCTTCCAAGATTCAAGCCGCTGCCATCCTTGGCGCCTTTGCTGCCTCCGTCAGCGCCCACGGTCACCTTTCTGCCATCAAGGTTGACGGCAAGGACTTCACTGCCTACGACCCGTCTTTCCAGTACCAGACCCCCTCCCCCGAGGTCATTGAGTGGTCCTGCCCCGAGTGCCTCGACAACGGTTTCGTCGACCCCTCCATGTACGACGATGCCACCAAGATTGCCTGCCACAAGGACGCCACTGCTGGCGCAAAGGTTGCTACTGTCGCCGCTGGTGGCAAGCTCGACATCTCGTGGACCACCTGGCCCGAGTCCCACGTTGGCCCCGTCATCGACTACCTCGCCAAGGTCGACGATGCCACCAAGGCCAAGTCTACCGACCTTGAGTTCTTCAAGATCGACGCCGCTGGCTTCGAGGACGGCAAGTGGGCTTCTGACAAGCTCATCGCCAACAACAACACCTGGACCGTGACTGTCCCTGACAGCATTGCCCCTGGTCAATACGTCCTTCGCCACGAGATCATCGCTCTCCACTCCGCTGCCCAGGAGAACGGTGCCCAGAACTACCCCAAGTGCATCAACATCGAGGTTACCGGCTCCGGTACCGCTACCCCCAAGGGTACTCCGGCTAACAAGCTCTACACTGCCACCGACCCTGGTATCAAGGTCAGCGTCTACGGCGGTGACATGTCCAGCTACGAAATGCCCGGTCCCGCTCTGTTCGACGGTGCCAGCTCCGGCTCCGGCTCTGACAACGCTTCCGCGCCCAAGCCTTCTGCCTCTGCCCCTGCCTCGTCCGCTGCTGCCTCCCCTGCCTCTTCTGCCCCTGCTGCCACAAGCTCCGCCGCTGTCGCCGCTGTCTCTACTCCTGCTGCCTCTGCTTCCGCCCCTGCTCAGACCGGCAGCGCCAGCCTCGACAAGGAGTTCACCCTCGACACCTTCATCTCCTGGCTCGAGGAGAAGGCTGGCTCTTCCAGCCAGAAGGTTCGCCGCCACCCCCGCGCTTTCCGCGTCTAAGTTCGTGGGGCGATGACAATTGGAGGAAATGTGATGGGAAAATCCTGGAGGATGGACGATGGAAAAGTAACACTTTGGTGTTCTTCACTTCTTGTACCTACTTGCTTTGAGTTGCTTTGGCTCATTGCTTCTTTGACTGAATGATATGTGTTGCACACTTTACTACTATTCTCTTCGCGTGCAAATTATTTCAGATGCCTGTGATTTAAGTGCGCTGGTGAAGAATGATGATTTTGTTCCTGTTTCTGATGTTAGTTGACAACGCATTTTCGATGCTAGCAGAGTATCCAAGTGTGCTAATGGTAGGCGAGCAACCGGGGCTTAGAGTATCTGACATGCGCATCGGCGTTACCCCGCCTAGTAGCAGCGTTTTTTGCTGGACGCCGAATTACACCTTTTCGCCTCCTGACGAACTTTTATTTTGAAAAATCATGAGAACATAATGAGATGACCCATCAATACTGCGACGTGAGATGATCAAAATCATGTGCTTGACGCCGTGATCTTGTTAATTTTTGCCTGATGATTTTTGGATTTGGAAATTTCTTCATCAACCAACCACATCATCCCATATAGTCTATCGGCTAGGATATCTCGCTTTCATAGAGCACCGAGAAGAGCCGGGTTCGACTCCCGGTGTGGGAAGGGGTAGAAAGCCTTTGTTTTTGCCATCTATTTGCTGTAATGCGTAGCAAGAAACAGATGTGTTGGCCGTTTTGAAGCTTTTTTGGTTTTTTTTCTACTGCGAACTTCAATCGTGCTATCTTCTGTCTTTTGGACCATACACATCGTATTGCATAGAAAGATGCATACATTAGGCTTGTTACTGCATACCCTGCTATTCCTTTTCTGTATTCGTTGGTGTGGTACCTGTTCTCTTGTTTCGCGAAGGCACACCCAAGGTACCATCAACCAAACCACAGCTCCACGAAGTGGAAAAAGGATAGCCTGCATACTCAAGTATTGAAATTAGAACGGGCTGGAATAGATGCAGCAGTATTCGTAGTACCTGCTCTCTTGTTTGGCTCTTCTTTGCTGCGAAGCGCGAAGCATGGCCTCCGCCCCAATACAGATTGCACGTGCTTCTGACGCTCAGTACAAGCAGGATTGATATTATCCCAGCACTGGACTGAAGTCGGATCGAGAGCGCACAAACTGCACTTGCAACGAGATATTTTAGTATTGACATCTATGAGCTGTTCTCGGATCGCCAGCCCTTTTTGTTCACTGTGTTGTGTGATAGCCAATCGCCTCGTGTGGGTCTACTCTAGCAGAGTTATCTGCAGTAAGACAACAAGAAGACGGGAACTCATGTCATCTTAGACGCCTACAAAGAAGCATGTCTTGACAGATCATTTTACATAGCATAGTTTGAGGTATACATTGACTTTTATACTGAGAGACTACACCCGTGTAGCACTGCGAACACCTCCAGGGTGATTTTATTTCTGTCATACTTATCAGAGGCGCGCATACATATATCTGCTAAATCCTGTGACTCAATATGTCGTCCATGTGTTCTTCTAGTTCTGCTCGTCCTCCACTTTCTTCTCATTCTCAGCCTGCTTCAAGTCAAAGGCCTTGACCTTTTCTCTCTGGGACTGCCTCCACTTGGCCTGGTTCTCCCTCTGCTTTCTCTTGCTCTCGATAGCCTTAGGGTCCCCTTGTGCGATCTTCAGATCGCGGAGGGCTCTCGACCGGCGCCCTGACTCTAGGGACTTGCTCGGTGCCTTCTTCGTAGTCGACATCTTGCTCTTGTCAAGCGCATCGTTGAATGGTATCTTCCCATCCATGGCAGCGACCTTCGCCTGTGTGGTTTTGTGGGTTTGCGTGATGCTCTTGCGCTTCTTATCGAACTTCTCCGCGGCGATTTTGTCACCAGCGGCGATCTTTGCTTGGTTCATTTTGTAGGTCTGGCGATCGTACCCTTCCTTTGACAGCCCAGCCTTCAGTCCGGTCACTTTGGTCCTCTTCCTTGTAGGTCCCTCTTCTTCCTCGTCGTCGTCTTCTTCGACCAGCGCGGTGTTGTCCCATATACGCTCCATCGCCTTCTCGAACGTGTCTGCCCTTGGCCCATAGCGCGCGATCATCTCGGAGCTCTGAAAGAATGTCCGGCAGTCCTCACCGGCGACGGTGTGCACCTTGTAGATGAGAGCGATCTTCGAGATCTCTGCAACGGTAAATTACCGACCTTGAAGCCAGTCGCTGAGGCACTCGAAGCCAGATGGAGTTCGTGGCCACGTCAGCGCTGTCCTCAGCTCTGTCTCATCGCCATCACCGTCAAGGAAGTCGGCGAACACGCGCAGCGGAACGAGCTGTCCAGTCGAGTGCTGGTGCCATGTCTGCGTGGTAGATAGAAAGGCCGGGAGAGAGACCGGCCGCCTGAAGTAGACCATTGTCAGGTCCACAAGGCGCTCTCGGAGGGCTTGCCGATGTTGGGCCTTCGTGGTAACGTGGGCTCGATACCTCTTGAAGCACTCCGGGTGGTCGATGTAGAGGACGATGCGGCTTAGCTTCCCGTGAACGTTGCGTTCTAGCCATGCGATCCGTCCTATGCCATGTCCAAGTTTGACCTCGGTCGCGTTGATGTGGTTGAGCTCGAGGTACTGGTCGTATAACGCTTGTGGAAAGCGACCAACGACAAGCACAACACTCGCTGTAGACAACGATATGGGCCTATATGGTGACATATGCGCGATGCCTATTCATTAGCTCTGGATGTGGGATCATAGCATCTCATGCAAGAAACAATTTGAACAGGCCTGGAGACTACATCAAGATGAGAACATGCAAAGTGTGTGACCCAAAGTCGATGTAGGCTCCAGGCTGTTCAGTGTTTTTTCTTGATTGACGTGGTAGCGAAAATGGGATGCGACATAGTTCGCCGTTTGCGTTGTTCGCCAGCCATGCCATGCGACATAACACGGCTTAACATGGTTTGCTGCGCGCTGGTCTAACCAGAGGGCGGGTCTTCTATGTACGGAGCTTGGTCAACAGCATCCGGAAACCAGCGATCCATAGCAGGGTCGGTCTTCGGCCAAGTCTTCGTCTCGCTGTCGTCACAATGCCCATGGATAGTGAAGGGTGTCATGGGCTCCGCCCTGGCCGTCTGAAGCAACTCGGCAATCTCTGGATGGTGAGGGGAGAGGCGAGGCAACAACTCCTCTATGTCTTCAATCACGTTCTGTGTGGTCGCTGCAGTAGTATGAAGTTAGTATACATTCTCATGCACTTCGCGCAGCCAGAACTTACCGTATGCGTTAAAGAGTCTCGCCTCTGATGTCTTAACATCAGTCTTTTCCAGTTTCTTGAGCTCTTGCGCGTTGCGTTTCCCTGCGGATGCCATTGTGATGGCGGGGTGGGGGAGGAGGTTCTGATGGCGGAGGGAGGGATGCTGATGGCGGCAGGATTCTGAGGGCGGCCGCGGCATTTCGATGGCGGCAGTACTGGTTGCAAGCAAACTGAAGGAATTGAGCGAGCTACCCAGGTCAGACTTGAAATCCCAGTGTGCGAGAGGCGAAGCTTACCGCGTTTGGCTTGTTGTTTACCTCGCTTCGATGAAGAGGAAGGAGCGGCCCACCACCACCCTGCGCGCCAGACCATACCAGTGTCCGGAAAGCCGTAATATGTACATAAAACAGATCATGTACCCGGATCAGAGCGAGTGTAGCATAGCAGTGGTTGTACGTCGTCAACGCCATGAGCAGCGTGTCCTAGTAGGGCATGACCATCTACTCCAACCTCCTCAAATCGTCCTTCTGCAGAGCCGCCACAATGTCCGCCTTCTTCTTGGGGATAGGCCGAGGAAGCCCACGTGAGCGATACTCATCACGAACCATGTCTCGAGACTGGCCTGCGTATGCATCTTCTGTCTCTTCATAGCCCGCGGCCTTCTTCCTCCAGCTCTGTGCGTCGATCTTCTTCCTCAATCTCTGTGCGTCGGCTATCTTCCTCAACCTCTGCGCGTGAACCTTCTTCCTCTGCCAACTTCTCTGTCTCCTTCTCTTGCTCTCCGAAGTAGCATAGGTGGTACTCGTCCTACGATCGCGATCGCAAAGAGAGCATGAAGCCAACAAGACCATGCTACGCAGTGTTAGTGCGTGTCTTGTACAGACAGCGAATACAACATACCTCCAAGTTCTCGCGCAACACATCGCCCAGGACAGCCATGGTCTTGTCAAGGACCTTCCGCCGGCTGCACTGGTAGTCGCACATGAGCCAGCCACTGCTTGGGGTGTCGTGCTAGATCAGAACAGCTTTGCATCGAGGAAAGGTCGTCAACAGCGCGGGCGCAGACTTGAACTTTTTCGTATCCGACATTGCTGAGAAAGTATCGCCATCGGTTGCGGCGCTTTGATGTAGCTGGTAGAAGAAAGCGGTTCTCGGGCCTTGAGGCGTAGTGTGGTGATGTGATCGCTCCATCGCTCAAACTTTGCAAGTGACACTGCGCGCGCAGGAAAGTCGGCGTCAAGCTACGGAGACAAAGTCAGCATGTGCTTGTGTCTCCCTCATTTGGGACTCATGTGGAGGGAAGCGGTGGTCGGATCGACAATGTTGTAGAAGCTGTCTTTGCATCTGCCCACGAGCTCCTTGTTGCACGTCTGTCGGAGAGAGCGAATGTCGCAGCACGCAAGATGGCGTACAATCATGCCAAATAGCTCGACTGGAACTCCCGCCAGACTTGCAAGAGGAGCCGGCTGTGCTTTCTTCTGGTGTGGCTGGCGACGGTCGTGGCGGGGGAGGTTCCGCGAGATCATCATGTCTAACCTACACATGCGAGTCTGCAGCAGGGCAGTGATGCTGCTGACGCTGTGCTTGTTGATGTGCGTAAACATTTGAATGACCACCTTGCGCGCCCCGCCGACGAGGCGTTGTAGCAGGGAGTCCAGGGTGCTTGCGCTGAGGGCAAAGAGCGTGGGGACAATCTCATCGACGCGACAGGAGTTGGCGACGCTGAAGCCTGGGAGAGCGCGCAGGATCTCAACGAGCCAGTTGCAAGATCCTGTACATTTACAGGCAGCGACGAGTAGAAGGCGCAGGTTGTTCTTGTTCGTAGTCGTGAGCAGAGTTGGGATCTGCTGGGCACGATCACTGAGAGACGTGATGGAGTTCGTGCGTAGACTCTCAACATAGCTATAGCCCTGTCTCATATATTGCGCCAGCTTGATTCGAAACTGCATACAAGCCATCCGTCGTATACAGCATGACTATGCAGGTTCGCTATAGCGTCGAGATCTCTCTTCCACGTCTACTTCCTCTCCCCGCAACGGTGGGCTCATAAGGAAGGCAGGTGTGACCGGTGTTGGTAGCTCCGTCAAGTATATGTTGGTCATCTTGGTTCCAACGAAAGTAGTTCTCGCGGTGCTCGGAGTGACCGGCTCGAAGCCCTTCCATAACTTGGCTTGCCTGTACTGCTTTACTGGTGGTGAACGGCGAAGTCTCCATGCGCGGTGTAGCAACAGTACTGTAACAAGGACCAGTACGGTGCAGACGATGCCAATAGCGATGCCGATTCCGATGGCAGCCGGTGTAGAGAGCGAGCGATCGTTTTCCGAATGGTACATTGCCGATGATGTTGACGATACTTGAGCGTTGTCAAGGCTTGGTGAAGGTGTGTAGACGGCTGTGCTCGTAATGATTGCTGTGATAGTGATGCCTGCGGTGTTTGTACTCATTCTGGCAGTCGCAGTAAAGGTACACAGAATGGAGTCATTGAAAGAATTACCTAGAAAGTCTCACCCAGCCTTTGCAAACAACGAGCAGTCATGGTTCTCTTACGTCTCCATTGGGAAGGCTGAGCACTAAGTTCTTGTCATATGCAACTAAGCGCCTCCTAGTGGATCTTGGATTATCACAGCCTTCGTAGCCCACATGTGGACGTCGAATGTGACTTGGTAGAAACCACATGAACCTTTGATCCAGAAGATGAAATACAGCAAACGTAGTCGAGGGTGCGCGCGTGCGAGCTATCGCACTTGCTCAGAGCTCAGCAATCGTTCCGGAAGATGTCATAGCGGTCCATCACTGTAGCTGAACATGTCCCAAGAAAGCCGATGGGGTCGAAAGTGCTCTAGAGATGCAATTTAGAGGCGTCGTGCAGGCGTCCTAATGCAGTAGCGATTAGACGAAAAGGGTAGGGACGAGCGAGAAGAGCACCCATCAAAGACGAGATGTGAGCCTGCTCTGTTCCCAAGGGCGCTTGAGGCGAAATGCGCAATCCCCATTCGATGTCATTGTGATGCGCTGTCACACGTGCTGTTGGTGTCCAGCCTCAGCGGCTATTAGGACGCCATCTGCACTGTCGAGCACTCCAAACCTGGAGAAATAGCAGTGTAGCGATTCTGTAGCTGAACTTCTTCACAGGCAGATCAGAGTGATTGAGCAAAGACGGAATCGACGTAGTATGGTGCGCGTGGTGTGGTGGTGTGATCACATAGGTGAAGTCCGGCCGGCCGCCGGAAATATTGCTCGCGTGGTAAAGCCGTCGAATAGGAATGCCGTGCGCTAAGCCGAGATGCGCATAGCCTTCCCATTCGCCGGCAGCACGTCTACATAATAAGCTTGACGATGATATGACACCTGTAGGTCGGCCTAGCATTCTCACGAATACTGCGGCAGCTGTCAGCTTAGCGGCTGCAACATTTCAGATCAACCGGGCCTGTAGGAATTAAGCAAGTGTATGTGCATTGACATGTGCCCCATATAACAGTAGGCATCTCCATCCAAGGGAGCTCCACGTGTTCCCTGGATGCACAATCTCGTGGCATGCAACCTGCTAAGGCATTTCTGATTTAAAGAAGCGAGCCTCGTGGGGGCCAAGAAAGTGCTTTTAGTCACGATGCAAAGGGCGGCAGAGATGTCACCATATGATGGGAAATTGCAGAGTGAATCGACTCGGGACATGACTGAGACTTGCATCACGATGAGGAACAAGAGTGACATCAAGAACGCGCGTCGGGAATAGGAGAGGACGATCAGAGATAAAGATGTTGGTGCAGAATGCCATGGCACGGGAGAGAATCCTGTGGGCTAGAATCACGGCAAAATCGGGCTTGGCGGCATCCGCGACAGGGGACCCGAGTAAGGCTGCCAGGTACACCACCAATCTTGGTCAACGTCGCCAGCTAACGTCTGTCGAGCCACAATTCACCCAAGATTGCTCTCCGTCATGGTTTCGAGCTCGGTCTTCTTATTGACGTTCGCCCGGTTTCGGTGGAGCGGTTTGCGTCTCAGAAACTGCTTGCCTCGGCGTCCACGACGAAGCCGGGAATGACGACATGCACGTCTCATCATCTTCTTGGTACACAGAACATGCACCGAACTCCGGGCCCCCAAACAACGCGTGGCTGGTTGCCTTGACAGCAGGTGGACCCGCGTATACACTTACCTTGGTGCAGTTGCTGGGAGATGGGAGTTGGCAGCAGCGTCGCGGTACGCAGATGTCGAGCTAGAGGAAGCGTGGTGCTGGTTGCTATAGCGGTCGCTGGTCGCACGCCGGTGAGCACCTGCATTTCAGGGTCATCAAGCTCAACGCCGCACTCGCGTCGCTGTAGCAGTAAGAAAGCTTGGCCAGACGACAAGTGCTGACTTGTTTCAGAGTGAATTGATCACTGTAACGCTGGAAATAGCACTGGCACGCCTTGCCATAGCCCGAATCGTCCCATGGGCAGCTGCAGAGACATGCATGGCTCCGCTGTCGATGAGACGGGGCGTCGCAGGCTGTGGCTTGGATGCAACGCCTCTCGCCCCAGTTAATCTCGTTACACGGCGGACAAATGTTCGTCAACAGACGTCATAGGCTCAAACAACCAGAGGCGGCCCCGGATCAAGCTTCACTCGAAAAAGCAGGAACGGCTGCCGATGACTGGGATGGGCTGTGATGGCTCGCCGCATCTGGGCAAGGACACGGACAGTGCGCTCCCATGTGGCGTCACTTGCCTCACTGGCCAGTTAATTGCGTGCATTACGTGGCTAAAAAATGTGGAGGAGGCGCAAGCGAGCAAGGGCGGTGGCCGCTGTGTTTGTTGCTGGCCGCTGGGGCTATGGCGACATGCAAGCGCGCTAGTTCTTATGCACTCACCTGGTATAAGAGCTCTCCTCTCGCCCTGCCTTCTACTCTCCATCTACAGCTCAAACAATCTCCACATCAAACCAACTACACTCAACTCTTTACCCACTCACCCAACCAACTCACCCACCCAAACCATCAACATGCGTTTCTCCACCATTGCCACCGCTGTCATCGCCGCCGGCGTTGCCAACGCCCAGGTCGACTCCATCATCTCCCAGATCACCTCTGCTGTAGGCGGCGTCCCTTCTGACATCGCCTCCGCCGCCTCATCCATTGGCTCTGAGATCACTTCCGCCGCTGCCTCCATCACCAGCGCGGGTGGCTCTGCCGCTGCCTCCGGCGCCTCCTCCATCCAGAGCGCTGCCGACTCTGCCATCAGCAGCATCGCCTCCGACGCCTCAAGCCTTACTGGTTCCGCCGCCAGCGAGGCCTCCCAAGCCACCGCCTCGCTCGGCTCTGCTGCCAGCTCTGCCGCCAGCGCTGCTGAGAGCGCCACCGGTACTGGTGCCGCCGACTCCAACAACGTCCCCGCCATGGGCGCTGTTGCTGGTGGTCTCCTTGCTCTTGCCGGTCTCTTGTAAGCAGGTCGACACTCAACCGCTTCCTTCCAACATCGTCATAAAACGTCTCCTTTGACAGTTTCTTCGATCGGTTAGCGACATCAGCCATGAGCTGACATCGCTTCGTCTCTCGTGAGACAGGTGTGGGACCAGAATGATTCACAGCGACACTTGGGATTTACCAATCGGCATACTTATAATAAGTCATTTCAATGAAACATTCAGAATACCCCAACGATTCTTTCTCGTTGCGCCGTCTTTTCCATGCTCTGCTACTTATTGTGAAATTTCTTCTCTCGATGAACATCGTCAACGACTGTGTTTTCCTGACTACGTGTTTTCTGGGGCTGCTGATTCGATCGTGTTCTATTGTTAGAGTTCAGCATCGCAGCTGAGTTGCATGATGTGAGGTTCTCGCTTATGACGTAAAGCCGCGCGTTCAATTCGGTGGCGTTTTCCGAAACCCAATGATGCGGCTGCGGTTAGCGGCGTCCCGTATGCACTCCGCATTCTCGCATGCGCATTCTTTATTCAACCCCTTCCAGATCACCTTCTCGCCGCTGATCAGACAGGAGATGCGACGAATTGGTCGTACACAATCCTTCATCGCGCGCATTAGAAGGCTGACAGCATGATCGAGATGCACCGGCTCATTCGAGAGATTAACAGGTGGGAAATGTACCTGCAACGCGCCGTGCAACTGACACAGTGGCTGGCCGCCTGGCTTGCGGCACAGCCACGTAATGATCCCCGACATGCATTTGGCCGGGTGATCTGCATCGCGACACATGCCTCCCGTTATGTTTTTCGGCGCGCCCCCGGGGACACCTGGTTGATCTTAGCAACGAGAACAAACACGGAGAAAGTTCCTGGAGATGCGGAACGCACACCACTTCGCTCCAAGGGCGATGCAATGACGACTGGTTGCTCGATTGAATTTGGCTCAAACAAGAAAGCTGGAGGCTGACGATCTGCGGAATTGCTTTTCCTTGGACCTTTGCCGCATCGAGTACCACGTCTTTTGCAGGCTGCAGCACTAGCTGCTTCGCGCCTTGGAGATACACGCTGCATCATATTCCACAACACGTTAGTGCACAAGACGTCGCATTGCGCAAGGCTGCGGTGTACTCAGAGGTGCAACCAAGAAGCAACGAGCGTCTTCGTAATGTACTTACACAATGGGCATACTGCGTATAAAGTACGGTATGTCGAGGAACCCGATTCACGACATTATTCACGGACATCACTATCCAAGTACACAACACTACAACTACTTCATCCGAAATTACCACGAAGCTTCTCAGTCTTTCGTCATTTCGTCAGCCGGACAGGGAAATTAAAGCGCTCCACCCGGTATTGTCTTCTTTATACCATCCTCACTAACACTACATACGCACCACCAACCTGCCCCCGAAATCCATAACCACAGCGACCATGTCAACCCTATCCGGCTTCACCTGGCCCCGGAACGCCAAGACCAAGCGTAGCTCACCCTCCTCGCCTATCCTCATCTCCGACCACCGTCCCCTTATCATCGGTCTGGCTGTCGCAGGTGCAGTGACGAGTATAGTCTTAATCTACACAGTCTTCTTCTTTATTCTCAAATGGCGCAAACTTCGTGCGGCTAAACAAAGCAAGGATATCGAATCTGAAGGTAAAATCGAGCTCCAAGACAATGACCCCTCACCGTATGTGGGCGACGGCCACCAGGGTGGGGATTTAGGCGATAGTCGCAGTGCGCGCATATCTTCAGAATTGCTTGTACAATATAGTGGTGTGAGGAAGGAGAATGGGAAGCTGGATTTTGTGGAGGTTGACTTGGGTGAGGAGAAGAGCAAGGAGTGATGTGAGTTTGGTGAGTAGGCATGGCTTGAGAGGTAAGGTTGCACGTTGACGAAAGTATTTCGTTGTATCAGTTTCATGGCTTGAGCGAGGCGAAGCGATGACTAGCAGTGCCTCTGCGTGCCTAATTCGTAAGATCCGAACAATGGGCAATACATTTATCTCGCACTATCTATATTGATAAAGGTTATTCGAGAAGACAATGTAAGACGGTGAATATGTCTTAAAGCTACATGTATCGATTGAACGCTTACGGAGAGACCAGATCATTTCGACTCCCCAAGTCTTCACCCTCTGCGGTGTCCTCATCCTTCTTTCCTGTCCATGTAAGGAACGTGTATCGTCCCTCAACGGGTTCTCTAGCAGTAACTAACGTCTCCAGCTCCTCGACCGTACGAGCTTGTCCAATCAAGCCCCCCTGAACGTCCGGGATGAAGCCAGACTTGATCGCGGTCTGCATCCACTCAAACACACCGTCAAAGAACCCAGATGCGTTGAGTACAACCACCGGCTTCGCATGAATGCCTAGCTGGCTCCATGTCGTCATCTCGAGTAACTCCTCGAGCATCCCGAAACCACCAGGCAGCGCCACAAATGCATCAGCCTCCTCAGCCATCATCCGCTTACGCTCGTGCATGTTGTCCACGACCGTTGTACGCCCGAATTCTTCCGGCGCGGGCGGCGGCCCGCCCAGTAGAAGAGCACGTGGAATGATGCCATGTACCGCGTCGGATCCCTGCGATGCCACTACGTTTCCAGCGAGTACGCCCATCAACCCCATAGTCCCGCCTCCGTACACTAACGACCACGATCTCTTCGCCATGATATCCGCTAGCGCTTTGGCGGCATCGCGGAACCTGGGATCTTTCCCTTCACTAGACCCTGCCATTCATCAGTATACATTCACTCCTGGGTACTCATGGGGACGTACCGCAGAATACGCATAATGTGAATGGGTTCGAACTCGTTCCATTCGGTGGCTTTTCATGTACTTCCTTTGAGCCCATGGTTGACGATATTCAGCTTGCGAAGTTCTGCGTAGAATAACGGGAGTAGTGGCTGAGCCTTCAGATGATCGAGTTGTGAGATCGTCTATTGGAGCTCATCACCGCGATTTATACATCGGAGTTGACTCGGCAGACTATCACGAAGCCTGTTGTGCCATACGGTTGTTGTAAGCTTTCACGTTCAGCCTAAACTACAGCTCGCTAACAGTAGCTTGTATCTTGTTTCAGAGCCACGAGGTGGAGTGTTACTATGTATGTACTCGGGCCAAAAGAATAATGGCCCGGTACCCAGGTAGCCTAGGTTTCGGCCAATCAAAGGACTAGTGCTGTGTCCGACACTTGGACCACTCGGGTTATTATCTGTTTAGTCCGGGTACCTAGGCACACAACACTCTTCGCATTCGCTAAGACGGTTTCACATGCCTTGTGTCTTCTCGGCCCCGTAAGTGACGTAGAATCTAGTACCTAGGTACAACTTCAATGACGAGCCCAAACGAAGTCCTGGGCGTCTTAGTCGGAGTTAATGGCGCACTCTCCAATGTCTTCTTCTTCGTTGAGATGTCGCTAAGACTTAGCAGTCTAACTACCCTCAAGCGACATGAGTTTTAACTTTGCCTTGAATACGAGCCACCGGAAATGCTGTAGGTTACATGAGTCTACAATCCTTTGCGGATGCATCTTCCTGGCCGGATCTGTTACATCATTTTGCGCCGGCTTGTCGCACCGACTTATGGGCGAGCAGGAAGAATGAGGTTTCAGGGAATCGAACATGTCATAGCTAAAGTGTATTCTGGAGAAAGTTGGTCGACGAAGAAAGCCTGGACTTTGTGAGCAGCCACTCCTCTGTTCATAAAGACACCCTGTGGCGCACTGTCTTTCTAACTCACTCACAACTATCACATCTTCTCTGTTTGTGAAGTCTACGACACACATCTCATTAGTCCTCTCTTCGTCCAAATCATTACACGATGGGACACAAATCCATCATTGCGATCATCGGTCCGACGGGCGTTGGAAAGACCAAGCTTGGTATCGCACTCGCCAAAGCCATCAATGGCGAGGTCATCTCCGTGGACAGTCTTCAGATCTATCAGTGTGGAGGAATCATAACAGCGCAGCCTACTACGAAGGAAATGGATGGTGTCAAGCACCACCTGATAGACTATCTGCAGCCCGACCAGGAACCAACCACCTTTGTTGACAACGCCATTTCAAGCATTCAGCAAATACACGACGACGGCAAGACCCCTCTTCTGGTCGGTGGATCCATCTCGTTGACCGAGCCACTCCTCTCGCACCCCTTCGTCCAGCAATGCGACCTGTCAGTCATCTTCCTCGACTCCAAGCTGTCGCACCTGAAACCTAGGCTGGACAAACGGGTAGACGAAATGATCGACGAAGGCCTCATCGAAGAAGTACGCCTACTCTACGAGCTCGAGCAAAGACTATTGGGCTGCCCAGACTTTTCGAAGGGAATCTGGAAGGCAATCGGATACCCGGAACTGCGACCAGCTGTCGAGAGCTGGAACGAAGGCAGGAAGAACCAACAACACCTGGATGAGGGAATTGCGGAGATGAAGAAGCGGACGGTTTCGTATGCTGAGGAGCAGCTCAACAGGATACGCGGCAAGCTTATCCCAGGAGTGCATCAGTGGGCCAACAACTACATGGTGCTTGTTGTACAAGACGCTGCGACATTTGAGGAACGCATTGTACAGCCTTCTGTCTCGGCGTGTCGGGGTTGGCTCTCGGAAGAGATTCGCCAGCGCATGATGGAGACGAAGCGTCGTAGTAGGCCGAACGTGCCAAGGGTAGACAGTTTCTCGAGGCAGACTGTGAATATGGCGGAGAATTAGCGTACGGTGGATGGGGAAATGTATCTTTCTTGCTGGTCGTGGGAGATTTGATGGGTTATAAAATTTGCTCTATGTTAATGAAATAAACGATTCTCTTGTCACTTTTGTCGAGCCTATAACAGTAGTTGATAAGCTATCGCCTTTCGAATTATTCTATAACGATCATCAACCAGAGCTGTCTACTCTAAACACCTCGATACCCCTTCTGCAGTCTCCCTGCTGTCCTCTCCTGCAGCGGAAGCGGAACCTGCTGCTGCTGTGGCTCATAACTCACCGGCCGGGCAGGACGATAAGCTCTATAGCCACCTACAGGCTGAAGAGCATCAGGATACGGGTACGTGTCCTCCGACCGCGAAGGTAAGCGAGATGGGCCCTTTTCTGCGTCATCGTCATTGTCGCGTTTGCCGAAACAACCACCAAAACAATCGCAGACGTTGATACCGCGGTATGCTGCGAAAAGTGCGTAAATTGTCAAGCCGAGGAGGATGAAGCCGAAAACGGAGCCCACGACTATTCCGGTAATTTTACCTCTGCTTAGCCAGGGGCCGGGATCGACATCTGGGTGAGGGGTTTGGGTTGGAGATGCTGTGGGAGATGTTGCGGATGCTTCAGTGGACCTTGTTCTGGTCTCAGTGGAAGCTGGAGAAGTGGTAGTAGTAGCGCTGGTCGTAGTAGATGGTTGTTCGGTACTTGTCGGCGTTTCCGTGGTAGTTGACGGAGGTGGTGGAGGTGGTGGCGGCTCAGAGGAGGTATCTGGACTACGCGATGGCAAGATAACTGTACCAGACGGCTCGGCAGTTACGAATGCTATCGAGGTAAGGAATGTGATGGACGTTACAAAGGGTGGCGGCTTTGTGTCATCTTGACGAGCCACTAGAGTCGCGGTAGAGGCTGGCGATGACACGGCGTTTGTTGCGTGGTTTGAAGAATCTGACCGCGAGGCAACGAGAAAGCCTGCAGCGGCGATAGTGGTGGCAATTGGAAGGCGCATTATAGGCGAAAGAGGTGTGGTGCTGTAGCAAGAGAAGAAAAAACATATACCACTTCTATGGCGTCAAGTCTGATCTTGGCCATTGTGTGTTCACGTATCGCATAGTTACGAACAATCACCTTCGATGAAGAGAATGCTGACGTGATGGAATGCCACGTATGAGAGTGAAGCGGTGGTCGTCACCAGATCGCGACGCGTTGTCAATTGACAGTGTTAATACTTTGATGTGTCTTGGTTTGGCCGATCGTCGCTTGTTACAGCTCACCACCACCACCTAGCAGTGCTGTAGGCTCGTCCAACACGACTGGGCAAACATCTAGCCCCACACCATAGGTCTCAAATGTCATGTTTTCATCCTCGTCGACCTCTATCCACCTGCGATTAAGTAGATCGCCATCCTGCGCCCTGTCGAAGAAGTTTTGCGGAGCGAATACAATACTGGAATAAGCCTCCGTGTACAAGGTTACAGGTACATCTTCGCTTCTGGTGTAGTGATGCATGCCAAGATTGAACCAAATGACAAGATCTTCACCTTCAATTGATTCGCCGTCAAAGAACTTGCTGAAGTCTTGCTGCGGTGTGAAGGGGAGATTGATGTTCTGAACGCTGTTGGCAAATGGCTCGTTGTCGTGCTGTCTCGTAACGGCTAGATGTGATTTGGCGAATTCTGAGTTTTTGCGTGACCATGGAGAGTTGAGGGTCGAGAGGTGAATATCGGAACGGCCGGGTACGAGACGATAGCCGCGTTTCTCACCCCAGGCATTGGTGGCGTTCGGGTTCAACACGACGTACATAGCCTGGTTGTTGGGTGCCCAGTTAAACTGCTGCTCTTCGGCCATGTATGTGATGTTCATCTCCATCTGTTCAAATTCGCCAAGCTCAGGGAACCACGGTTGGGTTTGGTTCACAACTACCAACTCTGAAACTTGAAGCGAGTTGGCCGCACCAACGATGTCGAAGTCGGCCTTGTACGTAACAATGTGATCGTGAAGTGAGCCTTGGGTGGCTTGTTGGATCCTCGGTCCGAATTTTGCTTGCGCCGGATAGTAGAAGCTAGATTGAAGATACCCAGATGCTCGTACAATGACTTCCAGCGAGCCGTCCATGTGGAAGGAGTAGTCAAACATGTAGTCATAGTTGCCAACTGTGGCAATTGCGCGAACAATCAGTCCAGCGCCTTTGACACTGCCGAGGTTGCTGAAACCGTATTCGTTGGATGCGCCCGTGCGATGACGTGAGAGCGGGAAGTTCATGTCGGTCTCAAAGATGCAGATTGCGTTCTTGTTGACTGCCGTTTTGTTGTAAGATGGGTAGGTGATATTCCAGAACGTCGATCCCCACGGGCAGTCAAAGCCTTCCACCAGGCTGCCCATCTCCGTACCGAGCTGATAGTAGGTATCGTGGTATACTGTATTGGCAGCCTTCGGTTGGTTGCCACCTTGTAGTAATTAGCTCTTGTCCAGTAAGAGACAGATGGAATACTCACCGTATTGCGCAGTAGCTTCTTGCATCGACAGCTCGTAAAGAATACGTTCACCTTTAAACTTGATGTCATAAAACATGATGCCAAGTGTCCTCGAGAATGACATGTAAAACGACCAACCCATATACTCAACATACTGGTTCTCTTTGTCAAGCTTGTATCGCTTGCCTCCAATTTCGAGAGTGCTCGGCGCGAGCCGCTCCTCCAGATCTCGCACGCCTAGCTCGGGCTTGTAGTCGACTAGCGCCCAACTTGCGTCGAGAGTCTGGTCGAACTCCATGGCAAGATCGCCAGATTCGAATGCACTCCTTAGGTCTGCGATGGTAGGGTAGAACTTTTCATTTGTGACGAATCCTTTCAGTGAGTAGAGAGACGGATCAGTGCCGCTACAGTCGATTAGGAGATAGAAGTCCAGCGGTGTCATGTAAGTTGCGGGACCTGGGAAGCGGAACATGATGTTACGAAAAGCGCTAGAGCCATCGAAAGAGATAGGTGTGCCAGTCGTCGAGGAGAGATTGGTTCTTTCGTCGGCCGATCCGAAGTAAACACCTCCTTGGAAGAGAGCTGCTGTAATGTCTGAGATGTTCGACATGATGGATGTGATGAGCGGCTCGGTTGCCGTCGACCTTGGGCCGTCGAAGTACCTGGCGTTGTATGGCACGGAACCACCTGAACCGCCGTTGTAGATGTAATCCAGCTTCTCGATCGTGGTTTCTGCAGATACGGGGAGTGGGCCGATCATGTACTCTTGGGAGTCTGGCTCAGCTTTCCCACCTTGGAAAATGATGGCTCGGGCGTATTTGGCGGGCATTGCTGCACCCTCGTCCATGTGCTTCAGAACATCGGTCTTATTAGTGTGCAATGCATCAAGCCAGAATCTGGTACCTGTCAGCCGCGTTTTCTTCTCCTCAAGCACCACTTCGAGCATGACGTACACATAGTTGTCCGTAAGCACAGCTTTTGTGGGATCAGTAAGATTGAGACCGGAGGATGGCGAATGGAGCATTGTCCAGACAGCGAGATTCTCATCCGGTGTCAAAGGAGCCCATGGATTAGTCTTTGGCGCTACTGTGGTGGTAGCAGCCTCAGTCAAGCAAGAGTATGCCGTTCCATTGTCGGTGCGTTTGTCAAAGTAGTCTCGCGCTACTCTTCTATCATATCCAAGGAAGGGGATGGTGGAAGAGCTCGCTATACCGAGAAGAACGGTCGAGACCAGAGCTGAGCAACGCATGTTGATCAACGGTACTAGCAAAGGATGCTGTGGACATTTCCTGGCACTTCTCTTTCACTTTATATACCGTCGCGAGCGCTGCGATCCCAGATAAGGCTCTAGTGACTTGCGACGATGACAACGAGGAAAGATGGTATCTCAGGCTCGAACAACGATAAGAAGAGGAACCAGAGGTAGTAAGGGCCTGCAAGGAACAGTCTCCACTCAGCCTGACCACTTCCGGGGAAGGGCGCAGCACGGACATCACCGCGTCTTACAGTCCACATCTTCGTACACTCTGTCTCGAACTTCACCCTATGTCTGGTATCTGTTATCATCTCGTCTGTAACCAACAGAGCACATGTCTTGCTGCTGTCCAATATCTCCAGAGTCCTGTGCAGTGTTTTATCAGGTTGAAACATCCGAATCCTGTGGGAAAACGACCGTAACGTTATGAATGCTTCGTATCCGCGACGCATGAGACTATTGCTGTATAGGAAGTCATAGCCTTGATGCGTCGTTAACCCACCTCGCGGAAAGGTGGGGTTACATGCTGTGGTGTATCTTATCGCTGCGAGATAGTGTCTTTGCATGTGCCAAGCCGTTCCCCGCTTCTGTCATTGGGAGCAACGAGTACTGCCAAGATCGAGGCACTAGTACCGCCGAAGGAATGAGTGGTGGTTGAACTATCGGTTAGTGAAAGAGGAGAACTTGTTGTGGCACGCCTCGACTTCGGCGTTCGTTCAAAACTCCGAGTGTCCTTCGGCATATCGGGCGCCAGCGATCGGCATAACGTCGTTAGACGGTTAGAAGCGAGGGTTGGCTGTGTTGAGGCGCTATCGCATGGTCAAATGTTGAAGATCCCGCAACATGAAAGATACAGCTGCGGCCTTGACATGACGAAGACCCGTAGGATCCATGGATAGATCGACATCCGCAATGAGCAGCCCAAGGTGAGCGCTACATGGCCATGAACGAGGCCTCAATTCCCCTACGAGCCAATATCTTGAGACGATTTATATTTCCTAAGGGCGATGTATAATATTGAGAGCGGTTGTCGAATGCGTAGAGCTCGGATGTCGGGAAACTGTGATAGTACTCTCTCGAGAAAGGCGGACGAATACGGGCTACGCGACGCGACGGGGATCAATCGTGAGGTTAAAGTCGGCCGAAATGTTAAGAGTCCGAGATCGGGTTGGAGCTTGTGCATAAGCGATAACAAGGCTTGAAGATGGCAGTGTGTGCATAAGGTGTCAGGCTGAGAGGTCGCGCTGCGACGCGACGCGGAACCCTGACCTCGCCAAGACGTGATGACAATGACGTCATCGACACGTACCATTCCTGCAACCTCCTTTGCAAGCCTCCAAGCCTTGAATAAACTATGAAGACGCGGCATTTACGAAGACAAACGTTTCGATTGAGTTGTACGCGAAACTAAATGACCTCCTGGAGCATACGTTGTCGTTACGTCTGCGCCTCTATAAGCAAAAGGCGCTGTGAATACCCTAGGGTACGAATCATGAACACCAAGGCCCTTCATATAGTTCATAGATGCGATTAAACAGCTTGTAGTCCTGATCGCCCATCTCATGTACCTTCTTTCAAAAGGTTGTACCTTTGCCCTTCTTTTTCTTCGGCTTCTTCTTGGCGGGTTTCGGCGCCTTTGAACTCTGCCCCGACTCTTCCTGCTCAGCTTGCTCAGCTTGCCAAGACATCATCTGTTCAGCTTGCTCAGGCTTCATATGTTCGGCTTTCCAGAGATCCTCTACATCAACTTGCCCACGCCGCACCACTTCAACAGCTTGCAAAAATTCCTCCATCAGCCTTTCGTGTTGCTTGCGAAGCTCGACCTCTCTCCTTGCCACCAAATCTTTGTACCTCGCATCCGAAAGTTTGACCAATTTTGTCGAATAAAGACCCCGCAATATCTTGTTGTCCCAGCCTCGGTACAGTTTGTTGATATTCATCGGCCCACGCCTTTCGTAGAACATGCCTGGATAGTATACACCTTGCTGAGATGCCTGATTCATCGTCCTAGCAATAGCACAATCGCTGGTCATGATCTGTCCATGTGGCGAAGAGCTCATGGGCCTCTTTATCATCTCCTGTATAACAGAAGCGGCGTCTCGAATGCCGGTTCCATAAGCATGCGAGCTATCTCTCAGTTCCATATTTTGGGCGATATCGTATGCATACACAGCCTCTTGCAGTATTTGCGCAACAAGACTCGTCTGCGGGTGCCAAGAGTAGCGAAACTTGTTTGGGTCAAATGATAGCACGCCTTTGCCAAACGAACTTGCGAGCTTGGGGTATAGCCTTGTCCATATACGAGCGCACGTGTTATGCAAAGTCAGCCAATCAAAGTGTAAATCAATAGCATCCGCCTCTATGCACGGGCTCAACCGGCTAAGGATCCCGTCCGGTTTGTTGTTCTTGGCTTGCTTCTGTAGTGATTGTATGGCAGCAGCGTTTCCCGATGGATCGACGTTTGTTTGACGAAGTAGACGCTTCATGCCTTCTTCGCTGCTCATCAGTTTTGCCCATTTGGAAACTACCGAATCAATCCGTCGGCTGTCGCTTACTTTATGATCGAAGCGATCCATGAAGATATTGGTCAGCATACTAGGGTCGATTAGTAGTAGCGGTGTGGTGGGCATGCCAGTCGCCTGATGATAACAGTCCAAGATCGTGTGGTAGTTTGTTGGTCTTTCTTTGCCACCAAACAGCCGCTTTGGATCCTGGCGGAGAATGAGCAATTCCATATCGGGCCATGTCGGGTAATCTCTAGACAGCAACTGAGTAGCTGCATAGAGGTATATCATAGGTCGAATACAGTCCGTAGCCCACTCAAGCTGAAGACCTTGCTCGTGTAGATCCTCGAACATGTTGTACTGGAGCACCCCGCAACCTACTGGATGCCGACGTAGTAGTACGTGATTCTCATGCTTGAATCTGGATAGATAAGGTTGCTGGCCTCTTTTCACAGGCAGGGTAACCACGTCCTTCGTAAACCAAACATCGAGCGTTTCTTTCCTCAGCTTCAATTGATTGATGATCTTGGCGGCTGCTTCTCGGATTCCAGGATCAGACTCGTATTTGTTGACCCCGGCGTTGGCTTCCGGAAATTTGTTCACAATCGTATTGAACCCCTGCACGTAAGTCCGGAGCTCCTTCAGTGGCGCATCTAAACGATCGCCTAGCACGTCTTGTATGTCGATATAAATCTGTGAAGCGAACTGTACCCAGATTGGAATCTGTTTTTGTTCCACCATATAGCGCACTCCTCTCGCAATTTCGTCTTCGGCAATTCTGTCGAATTTACCTTCTGACGGCAGAGGCAACTTTGCCCAAACTTGCAAATACATCAGGTGGCACATCTCAACAATCCTTGGCAGATGCGGGTGCCAGTTCTCGCCGTGTTTCTCAAAGAAGCCTGGGCCAATCTTGCCAGGGGCAGGGTCAAGTTCGGTTAAGTCTGCCTGTTCAGGAATGGCACAAAGATACCATTTGAGCCCTGATAAGACCGAGAACAACGCAAAGTCGCTCTGGTCCTCAGCATCCTTACGACCAAGCTGAATCGGTGTCAAAGATGCAAATTCTTCGTACGTGAATTCTTCCTCGAGCGTAGGAGTCCGCTTGTAGAACAACAGCGACGGCAATGTCCAGACAGGGAACACGTCTACCGGAAATCTTTTCGGGCGCTTGACTAACCGATCGAATTCCTTCTCAGCTAGACGGACGACGTCTATTGCTGTATTCGTCAACAGCGAGCAAACAGTGTTTTCCAGTGCGGATTCCTTGTATGTAGTCCATATGTCCTTTACATATTGACGAACGAAGAACAAGTCCTCTAGGAAAACATCGATGGCCAGCCAGAACTCGTCCTCAACTTCCTTGTCGTCGAAGTCGATGTGTACAGGTGTAAGGTTCTTGAAAGGCTCTTCACTGATAGAGTCGGCTTCGTCGGTGTCAGATGTCGACAACGAAGCAAGCCTATCGCTGAGTGACGGTATGGTATCTGTCTGTTGTCCAGTTGCAGAAGATTCGCTTGTTAGTCGCAGCACGTCTCGAACCTTGCCCAGAACCCTCTCTGTGAAATGGGTATGTGTGCTGTCTTCGAGCTGACTTCGTCTGCCTTTGGCGCCAACTGACATGACGTACCGGGTCTCTCTACGGCGTAACCTGATAGCTCGAGAAATTGTCGCCATCACCTAGAGATGGTTGTACGAAGTCAGTGATTATTTCACATACAGTTCGTTCATGGAGTAGTACTCACATCTTGCGGAATCGTAGGCTGAGGTTTGTGCGCCGCGATGGCCTCAGCCATGGGAATAAACTCCGACGTCTTGATGAGATATTCGCCTTTCTTTCCATTGGAAGATTTTACGCTCGTTGATGCGGTGCTGGTGGCGTATCCACATTTCACAGCGGTCTGGCGAAGCCATGCCGCTACGTTCCGGGTGTCTTCCGTATACCGCTTAACCCGGGATCTAAAGGTAGGCGGAGAGGGTGGCCTCGGAGCCGACTCCATGATGGAACAAGGTCCTATACGACAAGTAACACGTTGAAATGATGGTGAAGCACAGGGAGGTAGGAGATGTTACGCGATCGCGCGGGGATAGACGACAGAATCACAAAGCGGCGTGGTTGATCTAAGCTGCTAACATACTAGCGCGAGATACTCGACGCGCACGCGTCTTTGCGGTCACACTGAAGCACCCCATCTTTCGCTCTCATCCTTGCCAGTTTCGCACCGCAATTTTTGTCGCGTGAAGTTCTTAATCGACATTCGATCACGCTCGTACCGCCAATCTACGCTGGCCAGGAATTCCCTCATCATGCCTTCCGCCCAGCGCCTCCAATGAGCGACTCGGACCGTTGGACCGCGTTCTCCATCTCTTTCGCCTTTTGCGCGCAGACCGCTGCGTTTATGTCGCCTTGAGAAGACGTGCAGGGCTCGTTAGCTGGAAGCCGCCGGGCAGCTTCGTGACGAGCTGCAGGCTGATTGTTGGCCGGTGCTGGACGAGCATCGCCGTCATCATCAGACTCACTCCCGACCAAAGTTTCAGCTTCAGAATCATACTCGACTTCTTCGTGAGCGGGTCGTGCACGAGGTACACCTGTGGCCTTGGAAGCCTGAGCTTCGCGAGCAGTTGATGCAGCATGAGCGGTCATGCTGAGAGGTATCGTGGCGCTTTGGTGCGATAACTGTCCAGGTTGCACTCATACTGGAGGCCTAGACGCAGCAATTATATGTCCAAGATTTTGATTTGACCAACACAGAGTATCAGCCAGACGACGAACGACGAACAACGAACAACGAAACGAAAGCGATGTCCAAACGTATTACATACCTGCTACGATAGCACCGACACCACGATCGGCCGCGCCAAACGGAGGCGCCATAGCGTATACCTTAGCTAGTATCGTGTGGCCACCGGTCTCTATACAACATACTGCATGATGTAATTACACATACGTGTAGGGCTGGGGCGCCTTCAATCGCCTCTAGCTCAAGTTCACTTAGCTTACGACGCATGCATTCATCTCTTCCTGGCCGACGATGCTTTTGCAGCTCCTTACTGGCTAAAACAGGATCTCCACCAAGCGGAACAATGCGAAATCAAAGTTACAAGGGTCGTCTATCCTCGGAGCTTGAGACACCAGGGCCTTTCCTCGCCCTCACCCACGTTGTGCTGCCAGCAGCCACTCAACAATAACTGCATCAATTCCACCAACCTCCAGCACGATGCTTCGCTAAGTTCAGCATTTGCTCGGCTTTCTCCACTGGCACAGGAGCAAAGTCAGCGTATGCTTCACATGGATACGTGGAGGTTACTTACCTTTCTTCTCACATTCCTCGAACTTCTTCTTGGCTTCCTCGTACTTTTCCTTTGCCTTCTCAAACTCGGTTTGGGCCTCAACATGTGATCGCGTCGCCTGTTCGACTGAGCCCGGCACGTCGTAGTATGGAGCATCAAAGCCAGAATCCCACACTGGATACCCTCCTAGACCACCCATACCACCATGGCCGCCAAAACCTCCTAGATCGAAAGCTGGCCATTGGTATCCCCGCATGCCATGTCGTTTATGCCGTTTGAAAGGAGCAATTTCATACATCGCTTCGATACTATCGCGACTGGTAGAAACGATGCCTGTCGCAAAACCAAGCGACAAGTAAGGGTATAATGATGTGCGGAATTTTGTGAGAAGATGACGGATGAGCATGAGCTGATCTTATACCATAGACAGAGCACGCCTGAGGCAGACAGAATGGTCCACGTGTGCCAAAAGCAGGATTTCACAATTCGGGAGTTGAGTTGGCTCCAGGGTCACCAGTGCCACTCAAACGTTTCGCATCGTGAGTCTTGACCTAGGGCGACGATAGACTGCGTAGGGTCTACCAATAAGGAGCATTGTGTTGTCATTGCGGGAGCGGTCTATCATCGGAAGCTATTCTTCATTCACCCAAGCTTCTGGGCGGAGGCAAAAGCTCAGCCACGTCTTTTTGTCTAGCCGACCGCTAACAAAGTTGAGCAAACAACGCGACCGCGTCGATCGCACAAGAACGAACGCGCTCCTCGACAGACGACTGTACCGAGGTGCAGTGAGGCATCAGGGTTTGTGTAGCGCCTGGAAAGACTCGAAGTCATATGCTGAATACAAGACGTAATGTGGCCGGCTTTCACCACTCCTTGTATCGGCTGCGACCTTCCTCATTGCTGGCAGAGATATAGCAAACCCGAAATTGACGCGCGCAAACGTTATCGGGATATCCGATCGGTCGTTACCCAAGACGTGGGGTATCATAACGAAAACCATTGTACGCCCCGTTCGTCTGTCTTACGTAGCCGAGGGTTTCACGATGAGAATCTAAGCGATCTGCATGCTACCAAACAGGGGCTGGTGTTTGGCATACGGAGGAATTGTCCGCTATTTGTGATCTCAAATGCCACCAGAGCATCGCCGATATTCCATGTTGCCGCTTCATTCATCATATCGTTCTTTTGCGAATCATCAATGTCGGCCTCTCACCAACGAACGCCAAGTTACTCCCAGTTACCTCACAGGCATTTTTTGCCACCTGGTTTGACCGTTGTTCAGTCGGCTGGCTACCACGGGCCGATTCCCCGACATTCCTACCTGCGTGGAACAATCGTAGCTTGTACGACCAATGTACGGCCATCCCGGATGTGCTATACTATTCAGCACTCCGCGATTGTCTTGGCGATTACTGTCTTTACTGCTGGACTCATGACTTATACGTCAATCACCGCTTTCTAGGCATGTCGTGGCTAACTGCAACCGCATAGCATATACCTGGCTTGGACACCGCAGCCTATACGTAATACAGGACATCAAATGAAGGTATGTCGATACATGCCGTTATGTAAGCTCCTGGTGCACGCCCTCACTGGTCAATACATAGCGTTCGAGGGGTAGCTAACTTTACTCAGATCTGTGATACCGAAATCTGACCGGCGGTTGGTCCCGGGTTTTCACATGTACGCCATGCTAAACTCGGCTAGGTATTGAAGAAACTCATCCTACCACTGCAACGCTTAGTGGTAGCCCAATATTGATCGCGAAATTGCACAATCAAGTATACAACGCATACACTCCTCCCAACCAACACACGCCTTATTCATCTCCAGACAACTATTGTTGACCTCATCATGGGACGCCTCATATCATACTATCGCTGCATTGGTCCGCGCCGCCTCCGTGGATTGTCTCGCGCATCTTCTCCCTCTCTTCTTGCCACTGCTTTCTCCTTGTCCGCATGTCCTCCATCATCGCTCGCATATCGTTGTGAAGGATATCGCTCATATACATCCAATCGTAGGGATTGTGCATTGGCGCTCGCGAAGATGGGCTTCGCGCATATCGCTGCTGGTAAGGTTGAGGATCAAGCGGAAGATAGTAGGGCGATGCGCTGGATCTTTGGTAGGAAGACATGACTACTCTGTAGTAATCTTTTCGCGATGAACGATGAATGGGGATTTAGTAATGATGTTGCTAACAGGCTACAGATAAAGAGTGTTGTGTTGCTACAGCAAGTACACACGTAGATGACAACGCGTCGTCATGGAAAGCGACAAACAAATGAGCGAACGACTACGCCAGCGCGATGACAGTCAGAAATTCTACCGAAATTCTTGGAAAGATAAAAAAACACGAGCCAGATGCGTCCACCTCAACGCTAAGACCTGTAACAGAACTTGTACAGCCGCTCAAGCCTTTTCCTGAATGCTACCATATCCTGCTCCATCCTTCTACTCTCAACAAAGGCATCGGCCCACATTTCAAACAGGAGGTCGCGTTCCATGGGAGGAGCCATGTCTCTATCCAATGGACGTGGCGGTGCAAACGGCATTCGTTCGTTCTGTCTTCCGTTGGGACGACGCATGATCGGCACAGACCGATGAGGAAACAAGTCGCGGGGCATGCCTTCAACACCCCGACTGTATCTTCCTGGTGCCGAGGCCCTTAGGTAGCGTTCTCCGGGGAAGCCGTCAAGCGGACGATGCTTGCGACGATATCGTCGGAGCGCTGCTTGAATTCCCCTATCAAAGTGCCATACAGGGAGAGCTTGCGGCACATTTGCAAAAGGCATAGGAGCGGGGTTTGCAGCCTCTCGAAAGTTGAAAGTTGGAGGTGGAGCTACAGGAACCGCGTTGTGCTGAAGCGGAGCTGGTAGACTTTGAGGGTGGTTAACAGTACGGTAGTTTACCCGGAAATGCGATGGAAGCTCGTTACCGTTCGAACGCAGAAATTCAATCTCGCCGCGCCGTTCTTGCTCGTATCCGTCTGGGGTGGACTGTGAGTCTTCAGAAGAGTCATCGTTTCCATTCTCATTTTCGTCGTCGTTAAGATTCAGATTATCCAGCGCGTGGTAGGCCGCCAGACACTGGTCAATGAACTCTTGACTGAGGCCTTCAAACTCGTCGTCACCTTGGGAAGCGGTATCGTCTTCCGCAAACGGTGCTGGAGGGTGTTGCTCTTCAGCCTTCTTCGTGTTCTTGCGAGGGCTCATTGTGTTCAATCGTTTGGAGACAAGACGATTAGGAGTATAAGTGATGAATTGTCAACAGGATGAGGGTCGTAGATCTCGGATGAGCTGTACTTATGTCAAAAGGTTTCCTCGTTATCAATCGCGTTTGGAAAGACAGCTGGTGTAGTGGCGGACGAACGATGAGACGGCTAGGTTTGGTTGATAAGCAGCGGAACACCGATCGCAGTTTGTTGTTGCTATCGCTAACACATGGCAGTCGTTGGTGAAGTCTCGCACGTGTGATCAAACGGGCAATATGCGAGCAACTGCACGATCACCTACAGCAATGTCTCATATACTGACTAAGAATAAACTGCATAGATTTGTTTGCTGATACTCACAATGTTGACAGGCCGCCGCCATACGGTATCCAGAAATGATGGTACACTTCACGATCTCAGTGACGTTAGATATGGAGAAATGCATACACGTGCCAAAGATGTACGGATGATGTTTCATTGGTACAATTCGAAAGCAAAAACACTTCTAGTCAACGTTCTTCCACCCTGGGTCTTCCTCAACAGTCCCTCGCTGCAGTCGGCTTAGGTACTAGGAGTAGTAATATTGGCTGCGCTGATTCCTCCGCCGCTCCATATCCAAATCATCTTGTGCTTCCTCCAAACTCAAATGTAGCACTGTATTGTCCCGCTCGAGCTTGTCGATACGTGTGTAAAGCACATTGAGAACACGTGAGACCTTGTCGATCACAAGTTGTGGCTGAGGATTAGTCGTAGTAGAATACATGTATGCTATTACTTTCGAAAACGTCTCCGGGTCGTCAGAAGCATTCAGATAGATGCGCATGAGGTTGACCTGACGCTGTATGAGCGGTGGGGGTGTGTAAACTGTCCCATCGGTCGCGTCGGTCTGATAGGTCATCTTCTCTTCCTGAGGTACCGATGGTGCCGGGAGAGAGGGGTTTATGGCGGCATTGTCATAACAAACTTGGTAAATGTGTAAGTTCGCCTGGCTGTGGTAGGAAGCCATGCTTGTATAAAGTCAGAATGGACCAGAACGGGGGCACTGATGATTGCAGGAATGAACATTCTGATTCATAGTTTCAACCGCTACTTATACAACTGTGCTTATACAAACGAGGCTTTACTACTATGCCATGTGTGATAAGTCTCACTCAGCGACTAGTGGCACTGGACTGAGGGGCCATCGAGACGCAAACGGGATTAGCAAACCAAGGACTAGACCACCTCATCCCATTGTCGTACAGCAGTGAACCTTGCCGTTTGCATCAAGTAAATCCCCTATCGATCTCTTTCTTTAACTCCTTCTTGAGAGAATCGATGCGATCTCTCATTTGCTCAGTGAAATCTCTCAAAACTTTGTATCCGTCCTGCGACATCGGAACGCTCTCCACAGCGACTAGGAAGCTGCTCAATTCCCCCATCTCCTCAAGCCAATCTATGTGCTTGCGGCGCAGTTCGGAGGATTTTGGATCTTCGCCAGCGGGCTGATCTGCGTTCGCGCTCTGCTGGTGTGGTGACTGCGCTGGATCTTGCTCAGATTGATTGGTTCCACGTCGACGAAGCAGCTCACGGATACTTGAAGGGGCCATGGGTTGGCGTTGGATAGTGGATTAGAGCTTGAAATATGTGACGGAGGCAGCTAGCAGGTAGTTGATCTGATCGGATGGTACATGTCAGCGACCATAAGTAAGAGAACCTAGCAGGTTTGCCATACACAAACACCTGCGTACCGAAGAGTCTGGAAAGAACGACAACAGATAGGAAAAGACATGAACAAACTAGAATAGCCTAGCAGGTCTATAGCTATGTTCATATGACCGCAGTGTACGATGAAGATCATTTAGCCATCATACTTGGGTAACATCCTACACCCGACCCGACAATCAATCTACTCTCGCTCTGATAAGTGGCCTGTCAGATAGATATGGCGATCAACTAGTTGCCAGCAATAGAAAATGACACAGGTACATAGATAGCGGAGCTGTTATTGTCAACTACCAAGATAAATTAAGTGAAGATGATACCGCCGTCAATGACAATAGTCTGGCCCGTCATGTAGTCGCTGTCCTTACTGCATAGGAAGCTCACCGTACTGCTCACGTCCTCTGGTACACTAGTCCGACCCAACGCAATCAGTTCGTCGGTGTACTTCTTGATCGTGTCGCCCTTCTTCGCGCCGGTCTTCTCACCGAGCTTCTCGTCAATGAGATCCCACATGGCTGTACCGACGATGCCGGGCGCGTAGGCGTTCACGGTGATTTTGTGTTCAGCCATTTCCATGGCAAAAGCTTGAGTGAGGCCACGGACAGCCCATTTCGAGGCGCTGTAGTGAGACAAAAGTGCGAAGGGCTTGAATGCTACGATTGACGCTGCGCCTAGAATTTTGCCGCCGTTGCCTTGCGAGATCATTTGCTTGGCGGCTGTGGAGTAGCAGTTGTAGACGCCGAATACTGCAAATACATCAGTGGGCTGTCTCAATGCTGCAAGAAAAAACACTTACCATTGACTTCGAACATGCGCTTGAGATCTTGCTCGGTAAGATCCAGAAGTGCTTTGACCTGTGCGATACCGGCATTCGCTACCATGGTGTTTAAAGGTCCTAATTCCGAGACGGATGCTTTCACCAGGCCTTGAACCTCGCTCAAGTTCGACACATCGGCTGTGTACGCGAAAGACTTTCTCCCCAGGCCTTGTATCTCTCTGACAACTTCATCGGCGCCAGATTTGTTGGCTTCAACATCGTTGACGCAGACATCGTATCCGTCATTGGCTAGTCGAAGAGCAATGGCCTTGCCGCTGTCATAGGTTAGTCAACCCTATTGAGGGTATTCCTGAAGTACAGGAGTCTCACATTCCGCGAGCAGAGCCCGTTACGATGGCTGTTCTATTCTGGTCTGAAGTGACTGCGTAGCCACGCGCCCATCGTGGTGCTCGGGAGGCCGCTCGTGGTATACTTGCGAGTCTGGGAAACGCTTGACACACTGTTCTTGTTGGTAGACGAAACGACATGATGATTGTTGTTCTGGTGTAATAGCAAGTCGAGAGCCCAATACGAAGAAGAGAAGGAGAGGTGAACTAAGGAGACAACGAGGCAGTCGAGCATGCACCTCAGCGGCTACATATGCATATACATTACCCCAGATCTCCTCATCCAGAGTACCGGGAAACTCATAAAGGCTAACCGGGCATGCGGAACAGGCGTAGCGTATGCATAACCCCTCTCGTACCATGGGCATGTCGGTTGCATGGCGCAAACCTACGAATCCTCATCGGGTTTAAGAAGTCCGGGAATGACGTTGATAACCTTGCCATCCTAGTGCGAGTGCAGTAGTCGCACGAGTCGAGCGGCACGGTTCCGCACGCTTGTTTGAGCAGGTATGAGTCGAGTTTGAGAAAAGCATCGTTAACGACAGACGCGTGATGGGGAGAGCTAGTGTTGGGTGAAGGTGCGGGGAACTTCGGGGGTGCCAAGGAATCGCGAGTCTTCGTCCCGAACACGACAAAGCGCGTCGGGCACCGATCGCGCATACCATTGCTAGACGCGAACTACACCATGTCGCGCATGAGTATGGCGCCGCAGCGCAATCTGTCGCTGACAGAGGAACTGGAGAAGCTAGAGCAGTCCATCACTCTCACACTGCAAGGTAAACACAGCTTCGAGCACCCCACCATCGCGACTGACCCAAGCAGAAATCGACCAAAACTTCAGCCGCGCGCATCGCATCGTAACAACCGGTATCCTGCCAATCGTCGAACAATACGGGAAACACTCGGAAGCTGTCTGGGAAGGCTCCAAGTTCTGGAAACAGTTCTTCGAGGCCAGCGCCAATGTCTCACTTTCGGGCTACGAAGCCCCCGAGCAAGACGAATCAGCTGTACAAGACGAGACTGAACAGTCACAAACGTACGATGAAGAGACGGTCGAGGACGAGGATACCGTGACCGGAACGACGACCACACCACCACGGCCTTTGTCCGCACAAGAAGACGCCGAATCGACTCTCGGTTTCGACTCGCCCTCGCTCGGTCACAGCACTCCGCGGGCTCCACCTTCCACCACAAGAGGCAAACACCACGAGGACGAGGAAGAGAGCGAATATGAGGAGCAGCCTCAGTTCGCTGGCATGTCTTCGCCTTACGAGGCATTGAAGTCCGAATTCAGACCCAACATTGGCGGCACGAAGACGCCGAAGCTGGAACCTGTCACGCCTGGCAAGTCGCAAGCCCTTCCAGATATGAGCGGCTTTGAGTCCTCGCCGTTCATGCAGCCTACAGCCACGAAACAGTCCTACGTCAACAACGACCCGCTGCTTCATCGCGTTCTCGACAAGACGTTCCGCGTACAAGCTACACCACTTATCAGCCCGAGAAAGTACAAACCGACGGGTGCGTTCACCCCTCGCACCGGCGGCCAGCGCGGAGCACCTACACCACGAAGCGCAGCTACCAAGTTGCTAGACTTCGACTCTTCACCTCCCTCTTCACCAGCCCCACAACTACGCGCCGACATCTTTTCGCCCATGAAGACGCCGCGGACACCTGGTATAAGTATACAGACGCCTGCCAAAGGCAAACAGCCCATGAGTATCCACCGGACTGGCGGTACAATCTTCGATGACAGCGACGAAGAGGACGACGATGTTGACTTCAGTCCTCCGAAGACGATACAATTCCACATTCCACAAAGCAAGCTGATGCAGACGCCTGGTAAGATCCCTCCTCCTCATATATCAGGCAGATGCTAATATACGGAACAGCCCGAGAAGCTAGCAAGCGTATTGTGGATGACTTGCTCATGACAGCCGGCGGCGATATTACAGACTCAACAGGTGGTATGGACGAGGACAGTCCGAGTGTGGTAAGACGGCAAGTGGATCTTGACGACAGCTTTTAGATGATGGATCGACGTCCCGAATGCTTGAGTAGTTCTTTGAGCGTACTGCAGATAGACTTCGATACCCCACAGCATATAGATGTTTGGTCGATCTAGAATCAGATGCACGGTGTGGGCGTCTTGCATGTGATGATCCACAGCGGAACACTAGCGCCTCAGACCCCTGCAGCAGCTGTGTCCGCGGTCGTCATTTCACCATAATCGCAGGCACCAAGTCACGAATAGCAAACTCCGACCGACCTTGATTCCTTCGCTCGCCCAGACCTACAATGCCAAAATCAAAGCGACCGCCAACTTCGGGTTATGCCCGAATAGCCCAAGCCGAGGAAGAAGACGACTCCGGCAGCGACTTCGAGGGCGACCACCACCAGAATCCCCTGTCCAACGCGCAATATGCACCAATACAACCGCAACGGAACTCGAATATGCGCATGAATGGCTCAGGCGCGAGTTCACCGAATCACAGAAAGGGCCCGTCGGGGCGACGGCAACGTGCCAATTCTGGCGTGGACATAAAGGCCATCAATGCGCGATTTGAGCGATGGGCCGACGAGATTGCGCAAAAGTTCAAGATCAAGAAGCAGAAAGACTCGGCAGACGAGGAGGCGCTCGAGATCCATCACTCGGTCTTCCAGGCGCCAGACTGGGTGCGACCGGCAACAGCAGAGTCGCTCACATTCGACTACGACGTGCCCTCCGACCGCTTGACGAAGCTCGAATTCGACGATATCGTGGAAAGCGTCAGGACGGCCATCGAGATGGATGTACATCCCTTGTTGATTACACAGGGCAGTTCAGGCAGCTACTTCGCGCGCACCACACAGGGCAAGGTGGTGGGCGTGTTCAAGCCTAAAGATGAAGAGCCCTACGCGTCGCGCAACCCCAAATGGACCAAGTGGATACATCGCAACTTGTTTCCGTTCTTCTTCGGTCGCGCCTGCCTTATTCCCAACCTCTCCTACATCTCCGAAGCCGCCGCATACGTCCTCGATACCCAGCTGCGCACCAACCTCGTACCCTACACCGACGTCGTCGGTCTGTCCTCGAAATCCTTCCACTACGACTTTTGGGATCGCCGCGCATACTACAGGAAAAGGAAGCCATTTCCCGAAAAGCTTGGGAGTTTCCAGGTGTTCCTGAAGGGCTTCAAAGACGCGAATATCTTCCTCAAGGAGAACCCGTGGCCAGATCAGCATAACACAAACCACAATGCGGACAGGGCGGCACAGAAGAAGAAGCGGAGATGGGCTGAAGACTGCAGACCGAATGGTTCGCAGTCAGACGGCGAGGACGAGGACGAACAATCTGGCAATGGAGATGCGCAGCATCAACGGAGAGGCTTCTGGACGCCTGCGATCCAACAGTCATTCAGAGAGCAGTTGGAGAAACTGGTCATCCTCGACTACATCATGCGGAACACCGACAGAGGCCTAGACAACTGGATGATCAAGATTGACCAGAAGACGCAGCAGGCCTCCATCGTCGCAGAACCGCCCAAGATGGAGCGCGATGATGACGAGGGGGACCATCAACCGAGCTCCTACACGAGGCAATCGATGGAGGAATCTGACCCGTACGGGCGAAGGGAACCCATGACCACGACTAGCCGGTCGAACACACCCATGCAGAGTGGGCCGACACCCACAGTGACCATCGGTGCCATTGACAACAGTTTGTCGTGGCCCTGGAAGCACCCTGATGCTGTGAGTACCTGCTCAGAACTCCCCAACGCTATGCTAACATGACTACAGTGGCGCAGCTATCCCTTTGGATGGCTCTTTCTACCCGTCTCGCTCATCGGCCAGCCCTTCTCCGAAGCCACCCGCCGCCACTTCCTTCCCCTCCTCACCTCGAAACAATGGTGGAGCGACACACAATCGGCACTCCGAAAGTGCTTCTCACAAGATGCCGATTTCAAGGAGCGCATGTATGCGAAACAGATCGCGGTCATGAAGGGACAGGCTTGGAATGTGGTGGAGACACTGAAGACACCGGATCTTGGGCCGCTTGAGCTCACGAGAAGGGCACGTGTATGTGTCTGGGATGACATTGTCGAGATACCCATCGCTGTGCCGCTGAGAGCTCCGTCTGCGGAGATGCGGAGGAAACAGCCACCGGGCAGACAGCCAAGGGTGGAGGAAGAACATGAAGAAATGGATATCACAGCTGTCTCAACGCCGCCACAGAAGCCCCAGAAAGATCTCCTCATGAACTCGCCACCCCTCGAGTCCGCACACGAGAATCGCTTCAACCTCACGCGCGGCTCATCCTCTCTCGACGTACGACGTCCTGACCAAGGCCCAGAATCACCAGCGACCGTAAGCGACGTGTACTGGGGTTCGCGCAATTTGAACAGTCACTCAAATGGCCGGCCTCCGCATCAGTCACGCATGAGTTACGATGCGCCTCGCCGAAACACGCGCGACTCGCGACACCATAGGCGACACTCCTTGACCCATAGGAGGGACCTTGATGATTATGGCTTTGACGACGACGGCGATCTAGGATACGCTGCAAACGAAGATATGGAAGGTAACAGGAAAAAGGTCATCGTAGAACGTTTGGAGATGGTCAAGGGGCGGAACCCGGTGTTTACCTGGTGTTGAGCAGATGATCGCCCAGTTTGAGGCATTTTTTTTTTTTACATTATGGCATTGTGCGTGAGAGATTCGTCTTGCATCACGGGCGCAAAGTTGCTGTGACTATAACATAGGCATCTGGTTGGGCAGCATGGGAGGCGTTTTGTCGTACAGAATCTACGGATAGCAACATGTGTGTAGTAGCGGGACAGCTCCGCTATCCTGCTGGTGCACCCACACCTTCGCGTACGCTGCGCAACCCCCACACCCTTTAATAACCTGAGTGATACATGCGCGTCGTCCGCGAGCTGATGAGACTCTTGCTTGCTTCTCTTGTGCAATCTTTATCGGTTCCCCCCGACAATCGCGGGCAGCGACCCTTTGCCGATGTCCCGTGAATTATCGAGAGGGTCATCTGACACTCCTGCTAGCCCTTCTCAGCCACACGCGATGACTTCCCACGATCAACAGGAAAGGCAACAGCGCCATTTCACCCACGCACCACGGTACAAATGAATGACTCTTTGTTCATCTGAACCTGTATCCGACCGCATTGTTGCCTGGCAAACCTGCCGCCGCTGGGACGCGAAACCATACGTCTACCTTCACTTACCCGACGACCGGGTATACTAAGCGACTACACGCCATCATCTCAACATTTCGAGCCTCGGAACTTCGCGCCCTGCATCGACCGCAACCAGGCTTCAGGGGATTCGCAGCAGTTCTGGGGGCTCTCTGAGCGCATCGAGACACCCTGAAAACGCGTGATTTGTGGCGAGCGAAAGGATCAGGGCTTGGCATACGGACTATCAGATGCGCTTCGGCATCAACATCGTTGGAAGGGCTGGAAGAGCTTGGAAGCGCTGAGGGGACCTGCCAGAATTACCTGAAGCTCTCTCACCTGTAGAGTCCTTGTGACTTTGATTGCGAGCCCATCATGGACAAGTTTAATCCCGCCCTATTACTTGACCCGAGGAGGGTACGTAGAACAGGTATATCTTCAATCTCTCTCTTTCTCCTCACCTTCTTCCACCTCTTCACCCAAAATTGCCTACTCGCCCTTGATATTAGTCCTGGTGTTGAGGACTTCCACGCATCTTCATCGCTCCTTCCCTTTGACCATCACAGCCCAGCATGGAGACTATGGGAGGCAGTCCAGCCTCTGACTCCTCTGCGAGGTCAGAGCTGGCCGTATACGAGCCTGCTGTGGAGCCTACTCTGTACGAGCCTGAGCCTGATCCTGCCGCCTACGAGCCCATTGTCACCTCCTCACCCGTTGATTCGCTGCCGGATGCACCTGCGTTCACAAGTCACCCAGGCGCCGACGTAGAAGCAGAACCACACCCAGAACTAACCACGCACGTGCCAGGCGACCACATGGCCCACCACAACCAGGCACAAAACAACGGAACGCCTGCACCACACACTCCGCAATTCGATCCACGCGCGCTTCTCAATCCGAACTCGTCGACTCCTAAGCGCCCTGCGTCATCCGGTAACGACACTGACCGCGGCCGTACTGACCCCACTATTGCTGGCCAAGTCTCGCTCGTCGAACGCCTACACAACGTTCAAGAGCGCACGTCATCGCCTGCCAAGCGCATCAAGACCGAGCGGAAGAACGGTAATCGGCCCAACTTCACCGGTGGGAGTGCACTTGAGCTTCAAAACGGACAATCACCTGCCCCGCCGCCGCAACAGGGACCCGCAATCGACTTGACCATGAGCGACGACGAAGACGAGATCCAGGTCGTTCACGACAACAGCAACGATGACATCTGCATTGGCAAGCTCAAGCAGACCTACATCCAGGCTCACGTGGTCCCTTTTCCCGACCCTAAGAAGTTCCATGGCAATCATGGTGGCCAAAGCAGAATCAAGGTATCCTTCCGCAGGGGTGGCGGTCACAAAGGAAATCAGATCATCATGGTAAGGTTGCAGTTCAAGATACATGTGTAACATAAATTAACCAATATCTAGGTGCTTGACGGTATGGGTAAAGAGTTCGGCAGAGTTGACATGAAGACCGCACAAGGTCTCACACCACTGATCGATAGCGCGCAAACCAATGGTCTAAAGTGGCTGGCCTGGACTGAACCACGCCGAAAGCTTCCCAACGAAGGACCGCCTGGCAGTCAAATCTCTGCGCTTGTCGGTATGACTTTACAACTGTACTGTCCTCGTAAGTCTGCGGATCACCTTGGAAGGTATCTCAGAAGTAAGAACCTCATCCTTGAGAACCCCGTCTTCGAACTCGCGCGCCATGATTACTACAACCCACAGTCTAAGGAGGGGTTCCAGAAGAATCAAGTAGGACAACCCGATTTCCAGCCGTCCACCCAGTACGCCGTTGGCGCTGCCACAAACACCTACGTCCTTCGCAGTGTCGACGAGATTCGCGCTGATGTCGAAGACGTCTTCGATACGGTTGTGAGTGGCTCGGAAGAAGTTCCGATTCGAGAGCCTTCAACGCTCATCAAAACCGAGCTGTACCCTCACCAAAAGCAGGCGCTTTACTTCATGGTCGACCACGAACAAGAACATCCGCCAGACGTCTACGATAAACGCAAGGACTCCTTATGGGCCCCGAAGTATCGGGATAATGGACGCAAGTACTACATGCATATCATCACCGGCGAACAGACGGAAGATCAACCTAGACCTAGTCTTGGGGGTATCCTGGCTGACGAGATGGGATTGGGTAAGACACTCAGCATCCTATCACTCATCTGCGACGATACCTCGATTGTATCCGCCAAAGACTTCTGCCAGAAGCGGCCACCTCCGAGGCCCTACCCAGGCATGATCCAGCCCACAATCAACAGTCGCGCAACACTTCTTGTTTGTCCTCTCAGCACCATGACGAACTGGAAGGAGCAGATCAAGGACCACTTTCCACAGGGCACAAGCACCCTGAAGTGGAAGCGGTACCACGGCTCAGAGCGGTTCAGCATAACACCTGAGGTCCTTGCAGATCACGACATAATCTTAACAACGTACCACATCATCGCGAAAGACCTCACAGACAAGAAACGAGCGTTGCCCTACATCAACTGGTTCCGCATTGTTCTGGATGAAGCACATACAATTCGCAACCCGACCAACCAGTCCAAGGCAGCATGTACGATGATGGGTCAACGTCGTTGGGCTGTAACCGGTACGCCTGTTCAGAATCGACTTGAAGATCTGGGTGCTCTCTTCAACTTCATCAAGTTGAAGCCTTTCGATACTCCCAGCGGCTTCAACCAGTTCATCCTCGGTCCTTTCAAGAACGCCGACCCCAACGTTGTAACGAAGCTTCAGCTGCTTGTCAGCACCGTTACCATTCGTCGTACCAAGGAGATCATCAAGGACGAGGTCCCCAAGAAGCTTGACTACGTTGTCAGATTGCAGTTCTCTAAGGAAGAGCAGCAGTTACATGACTGGTTCGAGAGGGATACTCAACGCAAGGTGAATGCTGTCACTCAGGGCGATAAGATGGGTGGACGATCATACGCCAAGATCTTGACCGCCATCCTAAATCTTCGATTGATCTGCGCTCATGGTCGTGATCTGCTCAGTGAAGAAGCGCTCAAGACTACCGACGGCATGACCTATGAGAAGCCCATGGAGATAGATGAGGAGGACAGCGATAGGCCACAGCTTGTAAGTACTATCCGCATACAAACTGTTGTGAGACATTCACTGACTTCGTTCATCGATATTTAGACACGTCAACAAGCCTACGAGATGCTCACTCTCCTCGATTCGACGAGTGCAGCGGACTGCCTGTACTGCCCAGATAAGAAGTCTTTATTAGAGGATGATTCCGATGACGACGAAGACGAAGATGGCAACGTCCAGGAAGATATTGGCTACATGACCACATGCTACCACCTCGTCTGCCCACGTCACATCAAGAAGCTGAAGGATCAGTGGAAAAATAACCTCATGGCAGATGGTTCAGTTCGTTGCCACGTTTGTGACGACGTCAACCGGCCCACGGTCCTCAAGCTCGAACGCACGGACTACTACAACTATATCGAGGAGCAGAATCAGATCCGAAAAGACCCAAAACTGGCGAAGAAGATCGGAAGCTACACTGGCCCGCATACAAAGACCCAGGCTCTACTCAACGACCTGCAAGAGTTCCGCGTATGGAGCGAGCAAAATCCAGATGAGAGGCCGATCAAAAGGTGAGTTGATACCTATATTACCACACCGAGACGTGCTTTACTGACTTTCACAGCATTGTATTCTCCTCATGGACCACACACCTCGACCTCATCGAGATTGCTCTCAAGAACGCCGGCCACTCTCTCGTCCGCCTCGATGGCCGCATGTCGCGCGAAAACCGCGACAAGTCTATGCAGGCACTCCGCGAGAACCCTGCAGTCCGCGTCATGCTTGTATCTATTGGCGCAGGAGGTCTCGGTCTCAATCTTACAACAGCCAACAAAGTGTTCATGATGGAGCCGCAGTTCAATCCGGCAGCTGAGGCGCAAGCTGTTGATCGTGTTCATCGGCTTGGTCAAGATAGGGAGGTTACTATCAAGCGCTTTATCATGCAGAACAGCTTTGAAGAGAAGATGCTAGTACTCCAGGATAAGAAAAAGGCTCTAGCTAACATGACGATGGCAAAGGAGCGCAAGGGCAAGGAGGAGGCTACGAAGCAGAGGCTGGAGGAGCTTAGGAGTCTTTTTAGATAGAGGGCACGTGATTTTCACGGTGGGGAAAATGGCTGCTTTTGGTGCGCGGGCTGCTCTAGGAATGGGCGAAAAGGCGGTATCCTGCACGGAATCTCATGATATCCGGACGGATACATCTGCGGGATTAGTTACATCCGGGGAGTTTTCAGTCTTACGTAGCCTCCAGGCTTCGGCCCAATATTCTTGATACACTATAACTCATCTCATACCGTGCAGCCTACATTCATATTAAACCTTAAAATGGACGAGATGCTAAGGCGATGTAGTCTCCTGGGTCGCTTTGTTTAAATTGTTGTCAGTGGACTCTGAAGCCTACAACAGCATCAAGCATCAACATTC